TCGCGCCCTCCCCTCCCCCCCCCCCCCCCCCCCCCCCCAATTCCATGTGAATGGTTTGACCTGTTTAAGCTGAGAGACACGTTAAGTCTGGATTTTTTTTTCTGTCTCATCCAGCTGAAACCAGTTTCAGCTGGTTCTCCGGAGCCGACCGTCTTGAGTATTAATGGAAACGTGACTGACTCGCACATTGGCCTCAGACCATGTACTGCAGCACTGTCATCACCAATCGGCAAGCTCAGTGCCAGTGCAAAGACTAAAATAACAATGAAACAACTAATAATAAATGCAACATTGTTCCAGGTTTTTTTTTAGTGCTTGTATAAAATTAGGGAGCCTCCTATTTTTGCATGATTCACAATTGTTATTCTTTAGAACTCTTATGAATTGAAAATGTTTAATGTTTGAAACCGCAAATTCTGCTACGGAGCAGATTCCACTTAGTTATTCGGCTTTCATTTTCCAGCTGCAAATGTAAATTCACTTAAAGTGACATTAAACCCTCAGATTTTTTTACATAAACCAATACTGTAATGTGTGCCTTACTGTAATCCATGGTAGTTTCCCTTCTCTTTGCTGCTCTTCCTTTTAAATCCTCATGTCTTAGCTGCAAAGGGAAGTTCTCCCCCAGCATGAGGAGTGCCCCTTCCTGTAGTGCTGGCTCAGGTTGCAAACCTACACACAGACACCATGTATCCATTTCAGAGACAAGGCAGTCTGCTGCAAAACAGAAGTTCTGCCCAGCATGAGAAGAGAGAAGGATTTAAAAGTAAGAGCAGCAAAGAGAAGGGAAACAACCATGGATTCCAGTAAGGCACACATTGCAGTATTGGTTTATGTAAAAAAAATCTGAGGGTTTAATGTCACTTTAATGTTCCTTAATTTTAATTCTCTACAAATATGTAATTTCTTTAGCCTGGTTTTAAGTGCTCATTGTGCATATGTGTCATCTTTTGCTTCTCAAAGTCTTTCAGCTGAACATACCCAATCGTAAAAGAAAGGTGGTCATATCAAGGTTATCGAAGAAAACCCATTCATTTTAAAGTTTGATTTGAAATGTTTGAAGTGCATTTGTAAAGAAAAACTATGCCTTGTTTCATCCGAGAGTTAACCGCTATATGATTCCAGGAGGAGCCACTAGTTCCGGGCAGAGAACTGCAATATAATGTCACAAGTCTGCCCTGGAACTGGCATAACGCCCACCACTTGATGGGAACCTTGGCTGTAACATCATGCCGAAAGGCTGTCTTTAAAAGTTGTCCTTGGAGGACAACTTCCTTTTTTATAGCGGTGTTCATTTACTTTCACAATTACCAATACCATTTGTCCTTTCCATGACCTTTCATTTACAATATTTTTAGTTCATTTTAACAGGAATAAAAACAAAAAATAGCCCTCGCAGGGGCAACAAAATTAAAATGTATAATTACAGAACAATCAGTACAAAATAAGGGGAGGTCATCACTCTAGTTTCAGTTGCATGTTAACAAAAAAACACAAGGCCTAGACAGTAAACCATCAAATCGGCAATGCTTATATTCTATTATACTGGGTTTCCAGGAATGAGAACAGTTGTAACAAAATAAAAATGCCTGCCTGAAGAGGTTGTAGATTTTGGAGCTGCTCCTGGTTGGCTGCCTGAGGAGATTGTAGGCTTTGGAGCTGCTCCACGTTGGCTGGCTGAGGAGGTTGCAGGCTTTGGAGCTACTCCTCATTGGCTGAGTGAAGAGGTTGCAGGTCTTGGCATGCCTCCTTGCTGGCTGCAGTGGTTGTACATCTTGGAGCTCTTTTTGCTGGCACAATGTCCTCTGTGAGAAAGGCCCCCATGCTGTGTAGTCACACAGTGTTATCCATCAGCCAGTGTGGAGGAATTTGGTAGGGTGTCGGGTCCAGCTTTTTTGTTTGCTTTAACGAGCAGTTCATCAATTTATAACCAGCTAGGTGTGTCCTTTCAGATCTTTCCAGTGTGTTGCGTTGTGAAAAAAATAAATAAAAAGAAAGGCATGGAAGAAAAGGGGGGAAAAAAAACAGACATAAGGGGGTAAGGAAAAGGACTTGAGGCATAGAGGGAACAAGCTGTGGCCCTTTGAATTAGTGCTAGCTAAGGCTAGTCTGGTTCAAGGAAGGAAGCGTGTAGGTCAACCAGGTTTCCCAGATTTTAAGAAATGTTGCATGAGTGTTCCAAAAAATACTAGCCAATTTTTTATTCACCATAATCGTATTCATACTTTACCTCTTGTATAAGCTCCCCGGGTTTCCGCCAAGCCTTTGGAATCATTTAGCGGCAAAAAATAAAAAGGTGACCAGCATTTGTTGCAAGGCCATAAGACCTGGTATAGTGTGGTGTAAAAGTGAAAACCAAGGGTCATGTGGAGGAGTAACTGGGAACAGGGTCTGCATTTTTTCTTAGTAACTGAAACCGTGATGCAGCCATTCCCCAGTGCAAATGTCAAGAGAGGGACCCTATCCTGGAATAATGGCCAATGTCAATTATACTGTTTGAGTTGTTGGTTTAACCACTGGTGGTTTTAACATTTGTGAGTCTTTAGGGCCAAGTTGTATCTGGCCATTTTGCTCATTCTTGGCAAAATTGTTGTAGCGCTGTGAAGACCAGTTTTCAAGTTTTGCCACAGATTCTCAGTTGGTTTTAGGCCTGGGCTTTTACTGCACTATACCATTTTTGGTTTTCTGGCTTTAACCCCTTCATGACTGAGGCCCTTTTTTCATTTTTTGCACCCATGTTATATTCCACATTTTAGGCCTGAAAATGACATAAAACCCCCCAACATTATATATTTTCTGAATGCCAAGACCCTATAGAATAAAATGGTGGTAGTTGAAAATGTTTATGTTGCGCAATATTAGCGCAACTCCTTATTAAACCCCAAAATTTAGTGACAAATTTAATTAAATGCCCCAAAACACAACAAATTACCCATTTTTTTAATGAAATATAAAAGATGAGGTTACAACGAGTAAAACGATACCCAACATGCCCAGTTTACAGATTGCGTGCGACCGTGAAACGGCGAAAAACTGCAGTACCCCAAAAAGTCAATAAAAGACGCTTTAAAAGCCCCCACAGGTCATCAATTTAGAGATGCCCTAGAATTATTGCTCTCACTCCGGCGTGCGCGGCGATACATGTGTAGCGCGTTCGTCGTTTTCATGCGTAGGCGCACCCGACGCGTGTTTACGTGGCGACGCGGGTGCTCGCGGGACTTTAAAATTAAAATAAATCTAATAATAATAAAAAAAAATTT